GGGGGTATTGGTTGTTATTGGCCTGGGCTGCCAATTGGCTTATAACCAGGATAACCAGGGTATTGTTTTCAAGCATCTCTGGGGAGACTTGGACCCACCAAGCTCCAAGACAGAGCAAAATCACTGAAAAAAAAGAAAGAAGAAGAGGCAAAGGGCATAGACTAGGTCCCAATTTGCAAGAAGAAAGCCCGCTCAGCCCTGAGTTCTGTGTCTGCTGAACACAGGCAAGGCAGTGTGCACAAAGTTGGAATGATCCCCATCAGCCGCACACAAAGGCCCAGCAGAAAGCAAATGCCCCTCTCAGGGCTTGCCATGTTTTCCAAGACACCTTCATTACACGCTGCTGCTTCCAATGACGCCACTGGGTGACCTCAGAGATGAAAGAAATCGCCTCTGAGTCCCAGAAGAAGAGCTCCCTCCTCCGGCAGGCCTTCCCCTCTGTTGACCCACTGTTCCAGTGTGTGCTGCTGGGGCGGCTTTAAGGACAACATGGCTAGTATTTACCTGCTCCACTAGCTTCCTCTTTTCTTTGAGACAGAAGCACACGGAGTTATTTCTGAAGCGCTGGATCCCCTGAGCGCCAAGAGAATAGACCAACTACAGGAAGCGTCTGTACATTCTAAGCTCAGCTCGGCAGCAATTCCCTGAGCTGCCTTTCTGGGAAATTGCTGTATTTCAACAGGAACTTGAAGGAGGACAGACAAAATATTAAAAGGGCGTTTTTTGTATATGGAAATGAAATCTATCAAGGGAAGCCTTCTTTTATGCCATGTTATTGCCAGCGCTGCAGCAGCCTCCTGGTAAACAGGCTCCCTGGTGAATGAGCTAGGTCCAAAGGCAGCACAGAGAATTCACAGGTGTGAGCCAAGCCTGACCTGGGACTGGTTAAATCCAGCCGACCAGAATGATTTTACAGCTCCAGAAGTGATCCTCAGATTGTGTAACTCCAAAAGGTTGAAAAATGACCCCAAAAGGCAACAACAGAAGTTCTCTACTTCCTATTAGGGATAAGGAAAAACAAACAAACAAACAAACAAACAAGTGCCTTTTGACTTGCATCTGCCAAAGGAAAGAGAAACCAGAATTTGAAGGATGAATAAAAGAAGGTGAGGATACAGGAAAGCATTACAGGAAAGAAAATAAAAAGCATGTTCAAAGCCCCAGATGTATAAAAGAGCCAGCTCAGACATGGAGATGCGAGCCACTTAGGAAGGTGAGCTACAGTGTATACCAGAGGGACGAGAGCAGGTAACAACTGGGGACAGTGAACTTGAATCCAATGCTTTCCTCAAGCATCACAAAAGTACACAAACCTCATCCCATTCCTCTCCATTCACACACTAGAATATAAGTTCCATGAATACAGAAATTGGTGGGATTTTTTTTTTGTCTCTCTTGTTACAACTAGTATTCATGTCAGGGAGTTAAGTACGGAAACTCAGTAAACATTGGTAGTTAATTGTACAGGGTATCTCAGTTTGAACAGTTCCAAAATATTTTTGTAATTAAAATGCAATGGCATGCAATATAGCAAACAAATCCTGTATGATAGTTTGATGCATTTTGACCAATATTCAAGACAGGGAACATTGCCAAGAGTCTAGAAAGTTCCCTGTTCCCCTTTCTTATTAATTTGCCCTCCTACACAAAAGCAACCATCATTCTGATATCTAACCCCATCATCTCGTTTTATGTCTTCTTGAACTTCACATAAATGGAATCATACAATATATCTTCTGTGTCTGACTGCTTCTGTTCAACATATTTTTGCAATTCATCTACACTGTTGGGGGTATTATTAATGCATAACTTATTAACAAGTAGCAATCCATTTTATGAATATACCATAATGTATGTATTCATGTCCTTGTTGGTGAACCTTTGAGTTCTTTCTGATGTTTTGCTATTTTACATAAAGTTGCAACAAACATTCTTATACAAATATTACCTTCTGGTATATGTTTACATTTCTTTGCAGTAAATACCTAGGAGTGGAATCACTGGATCATAGTGTTGGTGATCATAAGGTTTAGCTCTATAAGAAACTGCCAAACAGTTTTACACAGTGGCTGGAATTTTACTCCCATCAGCAATACATAAGAAATTCCATTGCTCCATGTCCTTGTCAACACTTGGTATTGTCGGCCCTTTTCATTTTGGCCATTCAGAGGGTACAATGTGGTATCTCTTTGTGGTTTTAACTTGCATATCTCTTATGATCATTGATGTTAAGCATGTTTTCATGTACTTATTGGCCATTTGAGTATAATTTTTTGTGAAATTTCTAAGTCAACTTCCTGTTTTAAGTGTGTTATTTTTCTTTTTACTATTGACTTATAGGAGTTCTTTATATATTCTGGATATGAGTGCTTTGATTGAGATATATTTTTTCAAATATGTTTTTCTGAATTTGTGGCTTGCCTTTTTCATTTTCTAACAGTGTCCATACATAGGCAAAAGTTTTCAATTTTGATGGAGTCCAGTTTATTGCTTTTACTGTATGCTTTCTCAAATCTCAAAAATATCCTATATTTTCTTATAGAAGTTTATAGTTTTAGCTTTTTCATTTAACTCTGAAAATTATTTTATTTTTTGTGTATAGTGTGAGCTATAGGTCAAGGGTTCTTTTTTTCTGTAAGGATATACAGTTGATCTATGCTATTTATTAAAATGGTTTTCTTTTCTCCCATGATTATAATTATTTATTAAAAATCATTTGAATATACATATATTGAACCTATTTTCATTATTTCATTATTATCTAAGATATTAATTATAGGGTTTTCATAGATTGCCTTTATCAGATTGAGAAATTGCCCTTGTTTATCAAAAATGGATATTGGATTTTGTCAAATGCTCTTTCTGCATCTATTGAGATGACCATATAATTTTCTCCTTATTATGTCAATTTGGTAAATAATATTGATTTATTTTTTCAATGCTAAACCAAACTTGCATTCCTAGAATAAAATCCACAATGTACTATCCTTTTCCAGTATATTGTTGGATTATGATTACTAATCTGTTGGAAAATCTCTGTGTAGATTGGTATTATTTCTCTTTTAAACTTTTGATAGAATTCACAGTGAAGTTTTTCTTGTTCTTTAAACAGGAAGGTTTTTACTTATGAATTCAGCTTCTCAGCAAATTTAGAGCTATTCAGATTGTCTACTTCTTTTTCTGTCAGTTTGGGAAAACTGTGCTTCTTCAAGAAATTTTCCCATTTTATCTACATCATCAAACTTGTTGGCAAAAATGTTTCATCATTTTTAAAATCATTTTAATGTCTGTAGAATCTGGAATGTCTACGGTGAAACTCCCTCCTGCATTTGAGGATTGATTAGTAGCATTTGTGTTTTCTTTCTTTTGTGTGATCAGCCTTGCTAAGAACTGGGAATTTTATTACTCTTTTCAAAGAACTAGGTTTTTTAGCTTTGTCAATTTTCTCTATATTTTGTGTACTACTTTGTTAAGTTTTACTCTTATAATTGTCTTCCTTCTACTTCATTTGGGTTTACTTTGTTCTAATTTTTTTCTAGCTTCTTCATCTAGAAGCTTATACCACTGACTTTACATTTTCCTTTTTTAAAAAAATCATAAGCATTTAAAGGTATGGCTTTCCCTCTCAGCACATCACCAACTTTATTCTTCCAATTTTGAAATGTTGTGTTTTCATCGTCATTCCATTCAAAATATTTCCTAATGTGTTTCTGATTTCCCCTTTGACCTACAGGTTATTTAGAAGCATGTTAGCTAATTTCCAAACATCTGAAGATTTTCTATGTATATTCTTGTCATTAATGTTTATTTTAATGCTGCTATGGTCAATGAATGCTTTGTGCATATTTTAATCCTTTTAAATATACTGAGACTTGTCTTATGTTCCAGAATATAGCCTACTTTGGTGAATTTCTCATGTGCACTTGAAGGCATGTGTATTGTGGGGCTGTTGGATGTTGCCTGCAAAACATCTGAGGTTTCCTCTTCACCATCCCCTTCTAGGAATCTGTCCTTGACCCCCTGCCCCAAAGCCAGTGTTCCTGTTTGCACAGTGTTTTCTTCTGATCCGAGCTAATTACACTATGACTCCCACACTATATCCTGTCTCTCCCTACCCCTAGGTCTCTCAGGCCTCCATCTGATGTGCAAAGTGAAGATAAATCTCAAGCTGCAGAGGTGGTTTAGAGGCCACGCATTGCTTGTCAAAAAAGATAAGGTAACAATGGAGTCCTCCTTTCCCTTTTCAGTCTCTTTTATTCCGCTCTCTATGTGATTTGTGACGACTAATTGGAGAATTATATTACTGGGGAGGAGAGAGTGCCACTGGGACAGACATGGCCATTGTATGCATGGGATCGTCTACAAATTCCCTGTGAAATCTCCTCTCTGACTCAGGACACGGCTTGTGTGGTATGTGAGATGAGATTTTCCTGCACACCGATTTTTTATAAATTTTTAATAGTTAATATATACATACTAGAAGATGTGCTTTACGAGAAATATAACCTCCCTCTCCAACCTATGGTTTGAAGAAGTGATACATCTAAGTTTTGGAAATGAATAGATTCAAAGCAAAAGACTAAGTAAATGAAAATGCAGGGGTTTCACTTCTATGGAAAACGTGTGAAATGGTCCATAATTATGACGTTTAGGTAGACTGGTGTGATTGTTCCCATATAGTCAATACTTGCCACTGCAATGTTGTGAACCAAACGTCACTGTCTTTAAATTATCTTCACTGTCTTTCACGAAGGCTCCTGACTCAGATTTGAGAACCCAGCACAGATAACAGCATACAATTACCGCAATTCACCCAGAGAAAACATCCCAACTGCACCTTATAATGTTTGTCTGCCTTGTTCCAAGAAGGGTCACGAGATGGAATCTGACAAATGCTACAACAGAGAGGGGAAGTGTTTTGAAGAAAGGAGGAGTTTGAGTCCCCTTGTTGCCCAGGCTTTCCTGCGTCCCCTGCATTCAGCACACAGAAGGATGCTCACCTTCTCCCATTCGCGGTCCTTGTTCAGCACAATCACCACCAGCCTGGGGTGCACCTGATAGCCTTCCTCGGTGAAGGACAAGTCTTTGCCATCCCATGTCACATTGACCATAAATCTAGAGAAAGGAAGAGAGAAAGACAAATTTTTAGGGAAGAATTGAAGAGGTTTCAAACAAATGAGTGGGTGCCGCCATCAGTGAAAGGCTGAGAAAGTGTCAGCTTGCAGTGTAATCACTCATCACAAGCAGCCCCTGCCTGTAGAAGTATTGGTACACAGGCAGGCACTGCCAATTTGCCAGGCACTCTTTTCCATCAGCCTGCGCTACTCACTCTCAGAATCCCCCCATCCTGTATAGGCATTAGTAACTGATTGTAATTAGCATATGGGATGGAACTTTTTTGTCCTGCCAGACTACAGACTTTTATTCAAACGATCTTCTTGCAGGAGGATCTGAAAGCATGTTCTGTCATGTTTTAACAAGCTTCCCTGAAAGGCAACTGCTTGCTCATAAACCACATGGTATACAACATCAAAGAAATAATACCCCATTCATTCATTATTCATTCACCTACTATTTATTAAATATTTGCCACATGCCAGGACTCAGCTAGTCAGTGGGGATAAATAAGGACACAGACATGATCCCTGCCCTCCTGAAGCTTATCATCTAAGAGAGAGGACAGTCTTAGTTAGTTAATCACAGGTGTATGACAAGTGCTACAACAGAGAGGGGTTGTGCTATGTGAAAGTGAGACAGGGGCTGGGTAAGGCTTCTATAAGGAAGTGTACCTTGACCTGAAAGATCAATCAGCATGAACTAGACAAGAGAAGATATAAACACATTCCAAGCAAAGGGGACAGCATGTGCAAAGGCCCTGTGGCAGTACTTATGAAGGACTGAATAAATGCAAACCAGTGAGGCCAAAGCAGAGAGAGATAACGGAATGTGGGACGTGGTGTGGCTGAGAAGGTGATTAGGGGCAGACAGTGCTTTTCAGGCCATGGTAAGGAGTTTTATCTTTGTTTTAAAACAGTCTGAAGACACTGAAGGTTTTAGTTAAGGAGGTAATATAATTAGACTTTTCTTGTATAATATGACTTGACGATTGTGTAGAGAATAGGTTTTGGGGGAAATCAGAGTGGATATGGGGGGCTGATTAGAGTGCTCTTATTATTCAGGCGAGAGATGATGTTGGCTTTGACTGCTGTGGCCAAAAATTGGAGAAGGAAGAGTAGGAGCAGCAACTCATAGGGCCAAGTGGATAAATATTTAGCAGGTATTTAGTGACAGATTAGATGTCAGGGTTGGGGGGAGAGAGGCATCCAGGACCACTCCTCAGTGTCTGCCTTACACAACATCTGTGCAGTAAACTTGTGCATGAAGTTATCTTCATCACAAGTGACATTTGTCTGTCTTACAATACTCTTATCTCCATCACCCCTCAAAAACACTTGCCTGTAGTCAGGCTTGGCGCAAATGTGGAGGCAAGACAGAGCTCACCTCCGAGGATTTGGGAGAGAGGGTTCCCACGGTCCAGGGTTCCTTGCAGCTTGAGAAAAATGTGATGTTATTAAAGATGCCTAAGAAAACACACCCCTTAGCAGACAATTAATAAATATATATGGTGGTTAGAAGTGCTCAAAAACTTCCCTAGAACATTCAGGGTATCTCAAAGCCACTGCATTTACTTGCTTCCTACTCCTTTAAAGACCAAAAACGGCTAAAGAAGTAAAATATTAAAGAGGAGAACTAGACCTCAAAAATGATTCCAAAAAGAGACATTAGCCTGACTGGTCACACGTCTGCCTCTGGGCAGTCACAGTGCAGACGACCTGGCTGTGGTGTGTCAGGGGAGAATTAGGTTTCCAAGGACAAGGTTAAGGAACTGGGGAAAAGGCAAAGCACAGTATGGTGTATCCTTTCAGAGGACTATTTGAGTCCTTAAAAATCATGTTTTTGAAGACAAGTTTAATGGCATGGAGATAACACTCACTATTTAATGTTAAACAAGCAGAAAACAAGATAAAAATAGGGGTTGTCAATGCATGGAAGGATTCCAGGTATTTTTCATTTTCTTTTCTGTATCTTTGTATTCTCCAAATTTTCTGCAAATACTTTGTATTTCTAACAAAGATGCTGTTTGTTTGAAAACAGAAAAATCAAACGCTGCTAATCTAGAAGAGGCAGAGAGTAACCACTACTATATCTGGGGCGTCTGAGGCATCTCTGATGGTTTCCTAGGCAGATAATTTACCGACTCAACAATGATTTACTGAATGTCTGTTAGATGTCAGGCCTTATGGTGAGTCTTATAAACATAGAAGAAAAAAAAACCATGGTGCCTGTCCCCCCACTTACATTCTTACAACTCAGTGACATAGACACACGAACAATGACAGCACCTAGAAAGCCACTTGTGCCCTGATGCACAGTAAGTGGGAGAAATCGTGAGAAGGTAGAGGAATAGCCCCCCATTCAACCTATGTAATTTAGAGTGCTTCCTGGGGAATCTTCAGGAGTGAAAGGGTTCAGGAGATGGGAGAAGAGCATTCTGAGCAGAGGAGTCATCTTAAATAAAGAAGAGTCAGCAAAGGAAGTGACACATGCTAGGGAAAGTAGGAGATAGCTCAGTACGGCTGATGGGCAGCGGGCTTTGTCTGGAGAAGATCCCTGAAGCCAGATCATAAGGGACCTAAAGTGCCTGCACTTTGTTCAGAAGGCCATGAGGACCATGTTTTAAGCAGGGAAGTGATACACTGCATGGAGGAAACTGCAAAGCTTCGTGCATCGGCCCATGAAACATCACAATGGAACACTGCCCAGGGAATTCCAAGACAAAAATTGCAGACAAAGGCCACCAGAGGACTTCCCCTGGGCTAGCAGAGAATCCGTAACCAAGTCACTCTGTATCTGCCTGCGGTCCAAAACTCACAGTTAGGCAAGCTGATTCACTAAGGGGTTTTGTTTCTTTCTTTTCTTTTTTTTTTAATTGAACCCAATAAGCTCTCAAGCCAAGTGTTGATTGTACAAGAATTCGAGATAAATAGAGTCAGTCTGGGTCTACCTAATGCCCCAAATGTGGGTGAAACTGAACATTTTCATCCATTATCGAGGTTTGGAAATAATCCAGCTTGTTGTGTGTTTTGAAAAGGCAGACCTGAGGACAAATGTTTTGGGTCTGACTTAGACACCTGGCCCAGGGGAGAGCCGTTCACAGGGTTATGTTGCGTAAACTGATGTCGGTCATCACTTTAATCAAGGAGCTAACCCATCCTGTTGCGTGCCCTGGACTTCTTTTGGTTTGCCAGGTGACTAACTTGAATCTCCTTTAGTTCCCCGTCTCTGTTTCCCCAACTCATGCCCTTTTCTCCCATTTTGTAGTGAAATCAGGTGGAATCAGCAGGGAGGTTATTTAGATGCAATCCCTCTTCTTCAGATTATATGGGAACCACTATATGGGAGCTCACACACTCCAGATTTTTCTGTGTTCCTTTAAGATTCAATGTTCTTGACCAATGAGTCCATGTACTCACTGTTAATCATCTTATCTTTTCCTTTCTTTCTTTCCCTCTATTAAGATTTTTCAGTCCCTTGGAAAGGGAAAAAGAAAAAACAAAAAAACTTCTAACAATTTTTTTTTTTTTTGCTGAACAGTAATTTCATTATGAGGTTGGCAGGGAGCAAGTACCTATTACCTTCAATTATCCCATCCAGTTTCTAGGAAGGACAATCCATATCTCCTCAGGCTTTGTTCCCACTTAAACTTGCTCCAGAGCAAAATTCTTTACCCGGGGAAAAATCCATTATACACCCCACTGCTTGGTCTGCATTAACACCTGCTGGGCGCTTGGATTAAACAGTAAAAAATCTTATCACTGTTTTGTTTATCTCTCGAAAATTGATGACAAACTTTTAGTGACCAGATAAAATATCAGGACTTCTGGCTGCTGCTAAGCCTTAAATTGCATTTGTGATATTTCCATCAGGAGCAATAAACACATGCCAGCAAAACGTGGGAGTGACGAGGGCTCTAATGGCTTGCAGAGGGACCACTTCTGGGCTATTAGTGTCCATTGACGGTAAAGTGACAAATCGTTTTCTTCATATCAGTGCTACACATAACACAAAGCTAGAAAAGATGTAAATTAGGTGATGCACATCCTTACAAGTTTCCATCGGCATCTACAGTCTCAGGTGTATGAAGCTGAAGTCCAGGTGAAAGAAACATTTCTCTACCACTTGCATTTTATATCCTATGGCTGGTTGATGTATGGGGATCAGAAATAACACAGGAAAACAGGTGGGTTGTTTTTCCAATATTATGACTGCAAAGAAACTGGGCCAGAATGATCACACTCTTTCTAGCTCTACACTAATACGATGGCCACCAACTACAGGCAGCCACTGAGTGCTCGACATGTGGTTAGTCTGACTAGAAATGTGTCATAAGGGCACAACACACTGGATTTGGAAGCCTTCGTATTAGAAAATAGCGTAAAAGATCTCGTGACTAATTTTATATGGATTTCATGTTGAAATATTTGGGGCATGTTGGGTGCCATAAAATGTATTTGTTAAAATTAATGTCATCTGCTTCTTTTACTTGCTTAATGTGCTGCCAGATAATGTGAGAGGACATATGGCTCACATTACATTTCTATCGGACAGCTGTTCTGGACCATCTTTGGTGTGTTTGCTCTGTTTGAACCAGTGGCTGGACAGTACGCATCATGAAGGCAGAGACTTATTTTGCCTTGCTTTGCATTCTATTTCCAGCACCAAACAGAGTGCCTGGCACACAGCTGGTGCTGAAATAGACACGTGCAGAATGAGTAAATGAATGAATTCCTATTTCTACGTCATCAGGATCAAAGCCTACGTCTGCTGCTCCCCAGCTATGCCACTTAGGGTCATATATTTAAAATTCTCTGAGTTTCTATTTCCTCCTTTGTAAAAATGGATCAGGTTAAACCATGTGAACTAGCTGTGATGGTTTCATGTGGTTTAACCTAACAGATCCCTGACCCCCAGGTTAGTGAGTGGGATTAGTGATAGTGCAAAAAATATGCCTGGTATACAGCTGTTGCCTAATAAGTAAGTAATTAACATTTACA